CTTTTGCAACACACACACACACACACACACACACACACACACACACACACACACACACACACACACACACACACACACACACACACACACACACACACACACACACACACACTCACACACACTCACAAACACTCACAAACACTCACACACACTCACTCACACACACTCACACTCAAATACTGAAAATATATGTGATAAACAGTTGTTTCCAGTCTGAGTCACCTCCAGTGAGGATCCCTCAAGATTTAGTTTGGCCTCTGGCTCTGCTAATTGGAGCTTAAAGTCTGGTGTAGCCCCTGGGCAGTGTATGCTGTGTGTGGCACATGCTGTGTGTATCTGCTTGTGCGCATGTGTTTAAATTATGGATATCAAGGCCTGTAAGAGAGTGGCCACACAAGCTGCAGCTGCCAGAGCGAATGGAGAGAGTGAGCCAGGCCAAAGCAATCACAATCAGAGCGGCGGCGCCACATGACGCAGACAGGTGGTTCGACAGAGAGACAGAGGAGTCAGCGAGAGAGAGGCAGCAATATTGAGACAGAAAAATCTTCATGGGTCCAACATGTCTCCACTCTGGGCCCCTGAGACTCACTAATGTGGGTTAGAGCAGGACATATTTGGCTATTAAAATTATGATACCTAACCCACATCTTTCAAGTTTCATGTTTACTTTGTAATGCCTTAATTGGTATCTCATAGCAGAGAACAGTTTATGGATTATCATACTATTAAAGAACATCAAAACTAAGCTGATAAACTGCAAATATTTTGGAGCATTCGTCCTGGGTTTCGTCGCTGTGCGGCTGTCAAGTGAGGAGGCGATCACACCGGCCAGCTGTACAGGAAGTGTTACTTGAGTTATTTCCATTGTCCGACAGTTGTATGGCATTGTACTGCATGTACAGGAACTGCGAGCAGCAGAAATGTGTGAAGTGGGGGGGGGGTCATGAGTTACACTGGTTTCCACAGATTTTCCATCACCTTTTTCCTTTTTTTCCATTACACTGAACCTGACAGGTATGCTGCACTGTTGTGTCATTTTATGTCGCTGTTGTTTGCTGTCAACTTTGTGAAGGTGAGCTGACGTGCGAGTAATGCTGAACTTGACATTGATACTTCACCAGGATGAATACTAAATGAACAGTTGACACTGCACATCTACAGTAGGTAGGGTCTCTGGGACTGAGAGACATCTGTCTCCTTTTTTTTACAAATCAGTGGAGCAATTTAAAGTGTTCCTGTTTTGGCTGAAGCTCTTTGCGCCATAAGTGAACCTTGCACATTTTCCACCAAAACGTACCATGGTACAAAGTTGATCAACAGGACAACAAACAGAATTCATTATTTTCACTGTGGTTGTCCAATTTTTGTTCTAAAGTCCCCTCAAAATGTGAGACTTGAGGTAGACTTTCTACACAGGAGCTCTACCGCGGCACCTGGCACATGGGTTTCACACTCTCACACGCATTTGTACTTTCCACATCACACATATACTGTATACACTGACCTGAGTGACATGATCTTGTATGCATCAGGCAGGTAGCACCGCGTGTTCTCCATCTGCGCCGGGTCCGAGTCGCAGATCTTGTCATCGGTGCGGCCGTAGTTGGCGCTCTCGATCATGATGACGTCTGTGCCCGGGCAGCGCAGCTCGATGGGGTAGGACTCACAGGACAGCTCCCTGCGCACCACTGCCATGGGGATAGGGGCACGGCCGTAGGCTGGACACACAGGCACACAAACACACACATTGGTCCAAAGATGTTTTTTGATTTAACGACAACTGAACATTTATTTGTGAGGCTGTCTTTAAAAATATGGAGGCTTAAATTGTACAAGCACAGGCTGTGTTCAACTAAAACTGTATTTGTATACTTGTCACATAGACTAATTATCCACACTATAGAAAACAATAGCATCACAGAAGATTTTTCATAAGTGCATGTCCACTGTTGCAAGTGAGCTGACTTGATAATTACTGTTTTGCAGTTGGCAGTTTTAGACATCATTCTAGGTAGAGAGTAAGTGCCTGGCAATTTCAACAGGCATTTAGTGCTGCGGAGATTATTCATAGATGGCGATGCCTAATTATTCTCAGAAGTTGCAAATTTGATGCATACATCCGCCCTTACTGTACTGAAATAGGAAACATGTCATTAATTCCAATGAGATTGAAGCCACTGATCTGTCCCAGATCTTTTTAGTGCTGTTGCTTTGCTTCCTGCCTTGTTTAATGAGTGCAACTGATGAAGTCTCTTGGATAATGAAACTTCTGTACGACCAAACAGCAATCAAGTTGCCACTGACTTATTAAGTCTAGATATCCTATGACCTTAAACCTGAAATTCTGCAAAAAAAAAAAAAAAATAGTGCTTCAAGAAAGTATGAGCTCTTCCTCTAAGATGCCCCACCTTCCACCATGTGCTGCTATCACACTCCAGACCTTTCTCACAGCAGGCATTTTGGCTTGTCATCATCAAACACAATTTCGATAACAATGACTCAGTTCCACGAGGTGTCCCAATAAGCCGTGAGCCAGCATACCAAATACGAGGACCCCGAGACTAGCTCACCTACACTGAATGCAAACCATTTTCAGTGTTATCAAATCAATTACACCTGCGCTGTTCCTGCTGTGACAAGTCAAAATGTCTACCAGCACTATAATGTGACACTGATCTCATGTGGTCATTCTGTTTTTTATTTTCCTGCGTTTGTGTGTGTGTGTGTGTGTGTGTGTGTGTGTGTGTGTGTGTGTGTGTGTACTCATGTTATAATTCAATATATTTCAGATGATCTATTGGCATTTTTAATTAAATAACATACTGTAAGTAAGTTACATATTCAATTAAATATGTTAATTTATTATTTGTTTACTTATTAATATGTTAAAAGATGATGCTGAGGGTTATCTTATTTTTTCAAACTTCTGACAACACTCGATGAATCTATCTCAATGAACACTCATGTATTATATCTTATCCTACTAACAAGTGTTGTCAGTCTAGTCACAGACAACTACTTTGTCATCCAAAAACTTCCTTGTGTCCTTATGCTATAATTATGTGTTTACTAACACACCACACACATGCAGTATTGTCTTGTGGTTAGAGTTGGGTGCAGTGATATCAGTGGTGTGGGGCTGGATGTTCCCAGGGATTTGGGTTGCTGTGGTGCAGCTTGGATGTTGTTATTCTCTCTTCTCAAGAGCAGCAATCCCCTGGGAGCATCAGCCATCATCCCTTGATAGATAGGTTATCAGCTGAGGTATTCACCTGTGTTGTTCAGTTCTGTCAGAAACTCCTGGCTCTACTATAACTGTAAAGTGGATTTTATTGTGCCTAATTTTACATGGCTTCATATTGTGTGTCATATTGCTACCCCTGTCCAAGGACCTCATCTGAGAATTTTAGCTATATCTGGTGCAATATACATAATATGCATTGTCCCCGTTGAATAAACAAATAAAACGCAGTATATTAAATATGGGTCTGTGGAGCTACAGGTCCAGTAATTGTGACTACTTGTTGTTCTACACCACGTGTCTTTATTGAAGAATACATCCTGACAAGCCCTTCCAAATCATTTCTTCAAAGCACATGCAAGCGTATCACGTGCACGTATGAGCCGGCACAATGAACAGACATATACCCGTACTTCAAACACAAGACCTACAACATCCCTGAAAGGCAAGGCGCAGCACCACCTTCCCTGCTCTCCCTGTCACAGTAACCATAGCAACCCTGTCCTCCCTCCCTTGGCTCCCTCATTGGCTGGAGGAGCGTCATGGTTACACGAATGCCGCAAAGAATCTGAATGAGCTCAATGACACTCTGCCCGGGCTCAACTTAATACTGCCCTTCACCACATCACACACACGCACAAACACGCACACACACACAAACACACACACACACACACACACACACACACACACACACACACACACACATGCATACAAATGCTCGGAGTGATGGCATGTGGAGGCAGAAATTCACAGCCAGTGTAGCCAATATCTGTATGGTGGCTGGCACCTGAGGGCACCACATTGATAATGGCAGGCGCTAGCTTAGAGATAAGACTGATATATAAGTGACATTTGCTGAAAATGTCCTCTCTAATGAACACACACACACACACACACACAGAGACACGTATATCACTGCAGGCTATGATTAGACCTTAAGCACACATTCAGATAGAATGTGTGTCTCAGTAGTAGCTGAGGATTTGAGGGACCTCATGCGTTTTTGTGCACGTGAGAGGGAAGTGCTTAGGGCACTGGGTCATTACTGTGTTAATATGAGTGTTAGTTTATTAGTTTTTCAATGGCTGCATCATGTCCGCCTCCGTGAGCCTGAATGTAAATTCTGAAGAGAGGGTTAATTGAAGCGTACGGGGATCAATACGTAGTATTGTAAGGCAGCTGTCTAGACTGGCTTTGGATCAGATGTCTTACAGTGTTGCCTTACAGGGTCCCTGCTGGGCATAAAGACAGCATTATGGCACAAACAAACACACACACACACACACACACACACACACACACACACACACACACACACACATTCACACTTACTTGCACACACACTTTAAATGAGGGGTCTATCTGTATTCCAATTAAAAGCCACTCTGCCTTCATAAGCAGCAGTAAATGCTCTGACTCTCACACACCATCCTGTCTCGTTTGTCACCTTTTAATTCATCTATTTATATCCGCAGCCTCACCTATAAAACTGCACTGTGTTTAATCTGCCTCTGCAGGACTTACTCTGCACATATTTCTGTCACTTCCTGCCAAACAAGCACGTGCAGTCATACAGACACATGATACACACTCACACTTACGCACATACAGTACATGCCAGTGTCTAGCCCTCTGTCTTTGCACACATTCAATAACGTGTGAGCTGGCAAGTGCATGTTAATGTGTCTGTCATTAGTTGTGTAAGTGGTGACAGAAACTTGGCAGCCACGGACAGTACAGACAATCTTATTCAGACACTCTCATTGCCTCAGGGGGCTGAAACAAAAGGATATCGATTTTTACATTTGGGCCAAGAACAAGAGAGTGGCGAAAGAGGTGGATAGATAGAAAGAAGGAAAAGGAGAGGGTGAGAGGGAAGAAGAGAGAGATTTAAAAGGTGATCTCTCACTTGAACTGCCAAAGTGTTTGGCCAGTGTTGGTGTCTGAAATGTGGGTCGTCTGAGTTAGAGCAAAAACAACATGTTTTAAAAGTGCAAAAGAAATGTTGGAGGATAAAGCTTATTGTCAATAAATCCCATGAAAAGATCAAAAACAACAATGAATTGGATCTACGAACAAGTACCGCCTTTGTAGCCAAAGCCTGATATAGCTTCTTTTTTTTTTTCGTCTGTATTGTTATCCAAAAACCGTTCAAGTCAAATATAGATCACTTCTCACCAAATAAAGGCTTGTTGGAGGTGCTGTGATTCAATGTATGATAGGAAAACCATCTGCACAATCCAGCCTGTGCAATTTGAGGGAACCTTTTCCCTTGGGATGCTTAAAGAAGTTGCCTTATTAAATGAATATCGCACAGATCAGAGTGTGCAGATGTTTATCGTATCATTGTCCAAAAAAATAAAACATAAATGAGTTGCACTGAGTGATAGATTTCTTCACTAGGATGACCATGAGCATTGCACTTTAGATTGAAATGTATTATTCCATGCCTGAGAACAGTCTCCGACAAATGCACTCTTTTCTCCTGCTTCAGTAACATTCAACTGCAATGCCCAGCTGCTTTTAAGAAGTGACTTAGCATTTTATTTAAATGAAATCATATATTTGTGACCTGTTTTTAAGGATTTAGGCAGGAACAAATAGCCATGGGGGTGAGTGCCACAGACAGAGCTGGGAAGACAAAGTATTGAGAGGTAGACTAACACATGGTTGGCTGTTGTCCTTTCATGCCATTTATTGACAAGGAAAATAAAGAATAGCCCTAACCTTCCTTTAACACTGTGAAATGTCCACATATTTACCACAGTTTGTTTGAGGTCCTCTGCAGTGATGTTCATTGTATGATTGTAATCATTTCTCCAGTTCCTGCTTCCAGCAACATGATCAACAAGTCCACTGTGTCAGGTTAAACAGTGTTCATGACAGAAATATTCTCTAAACCCCGGTGATTTTTGTCCAGAAATTCATGCTTTCCTATTCTCTTTTATATGTCTCAACATAACCCTGAAATAATGACAAGACACGGCTCGGTGGAGAAGATGGAGTGCTTGCTGCTGTGTGTCCTCAAGCTAAACTGTCTTTGTTTCAACTAATCCTTGCTAAGTATAAACAGCCTGATTTGCATATGTCGACTTATTCTTTAGACATTGATGCAAATACCTTTGACTGAAACTCATCTCCTGGTGCTAAAGCAAAGCCCTCGGTGTTTGTGTGTCTAAGTGGCTGCCTGTGAACACTTCCTGTGTGTGCTCGAGTGTGTTTATGCGTGTGTCTTTTTGAGGAGGATCTCTGTCCATGTGGGTGTACAGTATTTCAGTGTTTAAAGTATATCATCTGCATGCAAGCATGTCAGCAGTCATGTGAACAAGCAGTGTGTGTCTGTGTGTGTGTTGTATGTGTCTGCACGTGTGCAGCAGTTTTTCCTCACAACAGCGTGATTGACAGCAGCCATTAATAGGATTAAGTCCAAGTGGGCCAGAGCTCCCTCTAGGAGTCTTCAAAGCCCACCATCACAAGGGAGAGGAGGAAACATACAGACAACCTACTGGGGCTGCATCTGCAATGTGCTGTGTGGGTGTGGGTGTGTGTGTGTGTGTGTGTGTGTGAGAGACAGGGAGGGGGAGAGAGAGAGAGAGAGAGAGAGAGAGAGAGAGAGAGAGAGAGAGAGAGAGAGAGAGAGAGAGAGAGAGAGAGAGAGAGAGAGAGAGAGAGAGAGAGAGAGAGAGAGAGAGAGAGAGAGAGAGAGAGAGAGAGAGAGAGAGAGAGAGAGAGAGAGAGAGAGAGAGAGAGAGAGAGAGAGAGAGAGAGAGAGAGAGAGAGAGAGAGAGAGAGAGAGAGAGAGAGAGAGAGAGCGAGACAGAAATGTGCAAAGCAATAAGAAAAGAGGACACCTGTAAATGAAAAAGAGTAACTAGGTCTTTCCTTATTTGTACAACTGTAGTTGTGGGCATATAAAGGAAATCCGAACATCTGGATGCAAATTTATACAAAAAGTAGACATATGCGCGTAAGTGTGTGCAGATGTATCCAGACTGGCTTCTAATGTAGTGCAACTTGCAGTATTTACATTCGTGCAGCAACAAATACCATCTCTTTTTAGTGAAAACCACCACAGAAGATTTTGACTTTTCACCGCAAGAGAAGCACAGGTGTTACTAATAACATTCTGTTCTAGTTGAGTGTCCCAGTAAGTGTGACAGTGAGTCAGCATGCTCAATACCAGGACCTTGAAACTGAAGCAACTAAATGGAATACGGCCATCAACCATTTTATTATTTCCGCCTGTGTGACATGTTAAAAAATCTTCTGTGAATTCTGTGCAGCTTCACTGCGAGGACAGGAGTGTTGCATGCAGTCACCGGGGCTAACGTTAAGCTAGCACTTAATGGTCAGTAAATAGCTCCAAACCTTTAGGGTGGCTGCATTTTAAAACTCTGTGACACAGCATCAAGAAAAAAAAAAAAAGGTTTCGAGTCTAGGCTGCATTTACACTCTCCTGGATGTTAATGTGTGTGTGGACTTGTAGCTTACCGATGGCAATTGGAGCACACAAGGTCGAGACGAAGAGCAGGCATCTGATCCACATGACGTCTGAGGTTGACTTGGAAGTAAATATGGAGGTACTTCCTGCTGAGCCCAGACGGTCTTGTGGTGAGCTGTTTCTCTCACAGCTCAGTGTTCCTGACACCATACAGGCCTGCCAAAAAAAACACACACACATAGGATTTGCTCACTTGGGTGCCATATCTAAACAAGTTAAAAATGCCTTATCTCTATGCACTGGACATACAGTATCTGCATATGGTACACATATACTCATTATACTTGTCCATACTCTCTGTAACACACACATACTACATCCACCATTGAATCATTCTATGTGCTAATAAATCTAAATTTCACAATTAAAAAAAAAATCTGTTTTCCGTGTGCCGTGTGTTCTGCTACGACAGTGACCAAACAGCAGCTTTCTCTAACACTGCATGTGTATTAAGTATTCTTAAATATTCTCTCTGCAACAATCAAAGGCCTTCAGATCATTACTGATACACTGCTTAAACAACAAACTGCTCTTGCGGTGGCAGAAGTTTATGCAGCAAAGGAAAAGATTTCCCTGATGCTCTCTTACTCTGTTTACTTATGGCAGATTGATGTTTTAACTAACAGCACTCTACTCAGGTCACTGCAGCTTCCTAGGATGAGACAGTGATCAATAATTACCTTAAACAATACTGGGAGAAATACAGAGAGCACGGCATGATAAAGAGGCAAAACAGTAACTCAGATGGTTGTTATCAAAACCCTATAAGAACTCTTGCCTAATACAATATGAGCCAACTTTCTGGAATACTAAGAATATGAAGAGGAAATTGTTTTGTGGATTTGCGGAGGCAGCTGATCCCTGATCCCTTAAAATTCATGTGTACACACTGCTAAATGGCAAACATTGTCCAGTCTGTAACTCACAACAGTTGTGGAACTATTTCTTATTCCATACGCATTTGTTTGAGACACAACTAAGTAGTTCATTCTCATCCATTATTAAGTTGTATAGGCCTCAAATAATGCATTCTGTTGTAGCTGTTTCTACGGGAATCGAGAGTTGTTCTGATTTTACAGCAGCGATACAGCTGGAATAACAGTGAGGTGATATTGTATATGAAACACTTAACAAAACCAGGAAACACGAAGGCATGTTTCACAAGACAATGGACCATATGCCAAATAATCCATAAACAACAAATCTATGAAGGAAATGCAAGACTAAACGCTAAATGTTGACCTTGATGAAAATAAAAACAGACAAACACAATATAATGGAGCCTAATGTTTGCATAATGATGCTGCTGTCTGTATTAGGATTCACTTCACTTGGTATTCCACATCAGCATCAAAGTGTGAAATGTATTGATGTTCCAATCTAATTGTTCATTTCATGGTCTATCAGCGATAAACAATTAATAAGAGGATGGTCTCTGAGATTAGTTACAGCAGTGACGGACTGGTAAGCATCATTTCTCCATCCTTTTTCTAAACTGATTAAGCTGACCAGCATTGTTCAATCACTCGCCCACTTGCTCATTCAACAACTAATTCAATCACTTTCTTCCTACAGTCCCAAATTCACTTTTTTTTTTTAAGTCCTGGCTGGTTACCAATTTCCTGTGTGTCTGTACATATTTTTAAGTCTGTGGTAATTGCGTAATCATCCTAGTTGATGTCAAGTAAACATCATTTTTCATAGGAGCAGGTCAAAAGTTACAGCAGCCTTATTTTGTGCCTAAATGTTCCACTGTTCTCAAGGGAACTCAAGCCAAGCTCAAAATAAACAGGCCTGTAGAGTTTGTGTGTGTGTGTGTGTGTGTGTGTGTGTGTGTGTGTGTGTGTGTGTGTGTGTGTGTGTGCATGCACGTGTGCGTGTGTGTGCGCGTGTGTATGTCTGACTGAGAGAGAGAGAGGCTGCAGAAATTTGCGACAGTCGGGGACAGATGGAGTGAAGCAGACAGCCAGAGCCATGGGAAATACATCATGTGTAACAGAGACTATTGATCAGTGTGACCATATCATTTTGGCCCAGCAGAGACTAAGACAATAGCCAGCTATCTCCGTCATGCCATGCTGTGAAGGCAAATAGCTGCTTTGGCACAGTCTCTGCCTTAGATATTTTTGGATAGCTACAACTACTGTTACAAGAATACCAGATTTATTTTTTTTTATGTACAGAAACTGTCAGACCTTTCTATAACCACCACAGATGCACTACATATGTATAATGCATCTTGTGAACATGCACAGTGACAAAAAGCCTCATGCTGTAGACAGGACAGATAGACAGATATACCCAGAGGCACATGCACACTGCAGAATCCGAATCCCTGGGAACAGACGCATACCAGAGACAAACAGCAGGATAAGATCTGTGCAGTCATCTGGGGGACTCTGTTCTTTTTGGGACGTCAATATAAATCCTTGAAATTGACAATTACTTTAAAATTACTGTGATAAAAACACACAGATATAGATTAATTTTACCAACATCTGTACCATTGTAGGAGGAAATTATATTTGAATTCCAGCATAAAATAGTCAAACATTATATCTAGTCACTTAATTTGTTCTGGACTTTGATAATATTTCATTTTTTATTTCTGAATAGACAATTCTTTGGTTCTTACTCAAAAGACAACTTCTGATTCACTGACACAAATCTATACATTTCCATTCCACAAGTCTGCACAGGTCATCGGCTGAAAGGGAGGAATGCGTGTTTTATCTACCATTTCTTTTCACGAGATGAAAAATGTAACACTGACCCATGGATGTGGGAAACATCATGGAGATGCTGCACAGCTGCCAAAGCAGACATTTTTCATTTTTATGTGACCTCTATTTAACCAGGCTGGTCTCTTGATTCCAAGCTCTATTTTTCCAATAAAGTGATGGTCAAAATGGCAGAGCAGTTTTGTTAAGCAAACTAAAACAGAACCAACAGAGAAAGATTTTATATTCAACTTTCAAAATATCAGGTGGTGAGACTGGAGAGTGATTTCATATCTGCTAACAGTTCCTGACAAATCCCTAATGGCACTAAAGTGATAGAATCACAATAGAGTCCCGTGCTTTATTCTTGCCCCCGATTAAACAACTCAACAAGCTGCCCCATTTTGATTGATTGGTCCCTAACTCGGTTGAACATGAGCAATCTGACCAGCTGTCCCCAGCTAGACACAGGAGGCATACACTGACATATGGCCGGACGCCACCAGCCACAGCATTCCACTGTTCCATAATTCAAAAGCTATTCCATCACACCGTATGCTCCAGCACCATCTTACCCATCAGTTAATTAACCCTCTCATTTCCACCACGCTCAACAGTGCCGTCACAGACAATAGTTGTGTGACAGCCTTGAGCAGTCCAGGACTAATGCAAACTCCAATCACTCAAGTTATGTTCATAATTCAGGAGGGCTGCATACTCCCATATGTTCAGATAATGACGTAAAAATATGTTCCATCGACAGAGCCCACAATGCATGATCGCCCAGAGCATTTCCTTGTTTCTCTAACATGGCGCTTTTCATTATCTTAATGTGTTTATTGGTTAATATATTATGAATAAACAGGCAGTAATGGTGCTAATTATCAGAACATATGTGATGTGTTTACACACCGTATTCATCAGTTGATCGTGCACATAAGGTTTGGCAAACATCATATGCCCCGTCTGAATCCACTCACTGTTAAAATGATGAAATAATTGAGTCATATATTTTAAATGAACTCAGTATTTCCTATCCTGAGCTAGCTGTATCTCAGTGGAGATCCTGCCTGGCAGATAAGAAGCATCTGCATAAAACTGAGCAAAACATCAACTAATAAGCAGGATCAGACCAAAACAAATAGCCGCCCCTGGATCCAAGTCCTTTGATTTACCTGCTGTTTCTATCCATCTCTGCCCCAGTTATATCTGCTCAGTAGATGTCTATTAATGTTTCCAGAAGTATAAACATACATCACATTTTTGTTTCTTTCAGGTTACCTATGACAAAAAAAACCTGTTCCAATTTAAATTAGATTAGTTTGATCTCATTGACTTCTCAACAGGAACCTATTATTTAGTGCACCACTAGGACAATCCGCTCCCCAGTAGTGTTGCATGCACAAGTGACTTGGTTTCACTGTCCTTTATTTTCCTGCCCTGAATCTTCATTTCCTACAGGGTCGGCATTAACAGAGCTGTTGCTGGGGCCACTACACTCACGGACTATATTGCATGCATCCATGAACTAATTGATGTTGGGCTGATTCTGTGCACCGAGGCAGCCTGACCCTATGTGTGTGTGTGTGTGTGTGTGTGTGTGTGTGTGTGTGTGTGTGTGTGTACAGTCCCTTAACGAGAGTCCTGCCTGTCACAGCACTCCTCATTCGGGGATTCTCTCTTTCACTAATGAGTGCTGACCGGACTGGGCTACCTTGTCAACGCACGTCACGCGCACACACATGCATGCACACGCATTCACACATACACACATGCTTATCACTAGGAGACCAGATGCCCTACTCCCTCAGCCTCCAGGCAGAGAGTCTCAAATGTGTCCATGCTGGGTTTGTAGTCTACCCTAAAAGAATACTATGAGGGTGTGTGTGTGTGTGTGTGTGTGTGTGTGTATGCGTGTGTGTGTGTTTAAGTCACATTAGGAAAAGCTGTCAACGTAGTTAATTGTAGTTTTAGCTGAAAAAAATAGCTGAAAAGTGTAATTGCCACACAAATTGTAGTATTTTGTTGTCCATGTGTAACTGTATGTACATGTTCTCCCTAATTAGAGTGGAAGCAAACCAGGAGGGATTGTTCAGTTTTGACAGTTTTGAAAACAAACATGCTCATCATTAGTAAAACCCCTCAATCTGAAGAAAATATTTGTTAAAATATTTGTTGACAAAATACCATCAGGAGGCATTTGATGTGTTTGTCCAAAAAATAATAATACACTGATGCATATACATTCAAAATGATCTATATATATATCATACCAATTTGTTGTGCAGTAGGCTATAATTACACAGGAAGAAGCTCGGCCGCTTAAACATGCTTTTTTTTCCCTTGCCATTTTTCTTCATTTAGTTTTTCTTCACCTGTTCTTTTCTTCCCTCTCTTTTAGTCTCTTCAGTTGTTCATTCTTTGCTCTGT